CCAAACATATCCATTAAAAATGATTAATTTTTGAATGAATGAAGGAAAAGAGTTAAGCCTAGTAGTTAAATTGAACTTAAAGTCTGATTTTTTTTTTTTTTTTTGCACTGGAGTCTTAATTCTACTATTCACTAGCTTTATGACCTTCCTTAGTTTCCTTATCTGTAAAGTGGGAGTCATAATAGAACTTATTTTATCAGTTGTTATGAGTATATACATGAAGTGCTTAAAAGTATTCCTGACACAGAGTGATGATGGTATGAGGGAGCTTTGAAATCTTTGTGGAAAAATAGAAATAAAACATAAGTTTATTCTGGTACAAACAAAGTTTGAAATCTAGGGTCGGTGTTTTGAGCCGCAGTTAAGAGTGGAGAAAGAGAGAAAGAGAGAAAGAGAGAAAGAGAGAAAGAGGAAGGAAGGAAGGAAGGAAGGAAGGAAGGAAGGAAGGAAGGAAGGAAGGAAGGAAGGAAGGAAGGAAGGAGAGAGAAAGGGAGGGAGGGAGGGAGGAGAAAGGGATGGAGGGAATATCCTTATATTCTTAAAATTTCATCTGTGAACTATATTGAATCTGCTGTCTATGTATTAATATCACAGCAACATGAAAGAAAACCAATAAAAAAGACTTCAAGTTGTATACCCACATCCCATCTCGAGCATCTGGGTTTGGTCCCAGCTCACTTCTAATTCCAGCTTCCTGCTAATATGCAGCCTGGAATATAGCAGAGTAGTAAGGACTCAACAAAAGAGAGATTAGGTTAGTCAAGTAATGAAAGGAAGAATGGAGGAATGAGAAGCAATAGGGCAGAGAAAGTAGGGTGGGAAGCAGAAATAACGGAAAAATTTGAACCTTCTGAAGTCCAAAGCTCCAAGAGCTGTTTGCTTGATGTCTGCCTGTGTGCACTACTCACCAGGTATTCAGCAATGCGGTGTTTGTTACAGTTTATTTGTTATTTCTTTCTGGATCCTCACAACATTATAAGTAGATTATTATTTTTTTCCATGTGATCAAGATCTGGAGTCTCAGAGATGCTGCCTAAGATCACAGAGGTAACATTTCGGGTGTAGGGATTCAAACAGGTCTGGGTGAAATCCTGTGTTCTGCGGCATGCAGTGCTTAAATAATCCAGAGTAGCAGATAACGGAGGAGAAAAGATCCAAAAATGCCAGTTAGTTAATTATAAGAGGCTAGAATCATGAGGAATGGCCATATAGTACATAAAGAATGATAGCTTTTTCAGGAACAGAATTTTAAAAGGAGCAGCATTTTAAATGCTTCAACTTTACTGCAGTATCAAAGTTTCATTGGAACATTAGTCACACATCGTGATGAAGATACTGGAGTAAGAGTTCCATGGACTGAAAATGATTGAAAGAGTCTAAGTAAGGGCCAGATGGGGACAAGTTCAGGGAGGACAGGAGGAGGCTTGGAGTGGGAGGAGAAAAAAGAGGGGGAGGATGAGGGGGAGGGAGACAATGGGGGAGGGAGGGGAGTGTGTGGTGGAAACTTATGGAGGAGGTAACAGTCATTCTCAGAGAAGACCGTTTCCATGGCTAGAAGATGAACAGATATTTGTAGCCAGGAGAACAACTCCCCACCCACTCCCATATCCCACCCAGATTGAATCTGAATAAGACTTTTAGTCCATTTCTGGTCTATTTTCCATAAAGCAACTGGAGTAATCTTTCTTGAGCAGAAATTAAATTATGTAACCTCCTTGTTTAAAATCCTACAATGGATTCCCATTGCACTCAGAATGAAATACAAACGCTAGTATAACTTTCAGGTCCAACGTAACCTGCCCCTGCCCACCTCTTCAACCTCATGCTTAGTACCCAGTACTAAGACTTTTCTGCTAATACAATCCAAGCCTTTTCCTGCACAGGGCCTTTGAATAAGTTATTGCCTATGCAGGGAATACTCTTCCCAACACCCTTCAAATACTTACATGTGATCTCATTAGAAAGGCCCTCCAGGACCACCATAACTTAAGTGAATTTCCCTTGTTGTCTCTCACTCCACAATTTTATTCTCTTCATAGTGTTAATTACAATGGCAACTATATGTGTTGTTTGATCATTTGTTTTTCTGGGCATCTTCTTCATGTACTTTGGAAATTTATATTCATTAAATAAAAGTTTAAAAAAAAAAGAAGGCAGGAACGACATCTGTTTGCTCTATCTGGTACCCAAGGATATATTCATTTATGTAATAAATACTTGTTGATTATAATATCTCCTAAACAGTGTTCAGGGTGGAAAATGCCCTGCTTCAGAATGGATCCAACTGAAAAGAAAGAAAAGCCATTCTTATAATAGTTTGATGAGTTTTCTGGATAGACAGAAGGGACTGCAGGGGTTGGTGGCTTCTATCATGGTAAAAGACAGCGGCAATTTGCCACTAAAAAAGGGTAGAATTTTAGCCATGGCTTTGAAGTAGAAGGAAAAGCAAGGGGGGACTAGTGTGCCCTGCTCATTTTTGAAAGTAGAGCTATATTGAGGTAAGGGGACTTTAAAAACTCAAGTGTCATCTTTGAACATTGTGAATCATTGTTCTTGGGAGGGGGTGTTTGTATTTGTGTGTGTGTGTGTGTGTGTGTGTGTGTGTGTGATGGGGTACTTTATTTTTTGAGAGAACTTTTATTTAATAAATATAAATTTCAAAAGTACAACTTTTGGGTTATATCAGTTTTTTCCCCCATAACCACCCTCCTACCTGCAAACCATCCCATCTCCTAATCCCTCTCCCATCCCATTCTTCATTAAGATTCATTTTTAATTATCTTTATATACAGAAGATATACTAAGTACTGTATATATACAGTATATACTAAGTAAAGATTTCAACAGTTTGCACCCACACAGAAACACAAAGTATAAAGTAATGTTTGAGTACTAGTTATACCGTTACTTCACATAGTACAACACATGAAGGACAGAGATCCTACATGGGGAGTAAGTGCACAGTGACTCCTGTTGTTGAATTAACAATTGACACTCTTATTTATGACGTCAGTAATCACCCGAGACTCTTGTCATGAACTGCCAAGGCTATGGAAGCCTCTTGAGTTTGCCAACTCTGATCTTATTTAGTCAAGGCCATAATCAAAGTGGAAGTTCTCTCCTCCCTTCAGAGAAAGGTACCTCCTTCTTTGATGGCCCATTCTTTCCACTGGGATCTCACTCACAGAGATCTTCCATTTAGGTCATTTTTTGCCACAGTATTTTGGCTTTCCATGCATGAGATTCTTTCATGGGCTTTTTAGCCAAATTCAAATGCCTTAAGGGCTGATTCTGAGACCAGAGTGCTGTTTAGGGCATTTGACATTCTATGAGTCTGCTGTGTATCCTGTTCTCAGATGGGGTACTTTAAAACGTTTTTGGAAAACAGGATTAAAAGATAACTTCATTTAGTGCAAAACGTTTAAAATTATTAGAGAGGGAGATGGAAAGAGAGAAACAGAGACACAGAGAGAGATGGTGAGCTCCCATCTTTTGGTTTACTCCCCATGATGCCTGAAACTATACTGAGGCTATGACCAGGAATTCAATCCATGTCTCTCATGTGGGTGACAAGGACTCAAATACTTGATCCATCACTACTGCCTCCTAGGGTGCACATTAGCAGGAAGCCAGAGTCAGGAACCAGAGCTAGGAACTGAACCCAAGCACTCCAAAGTGACCATGAGGCTAAATGCCCACTCCATGGTGCAAAATGTTTTGAAATCCATGCATTTGTGCATCTTCAAAACATTCAAGGAAAAATGCATGCTATCTGGAAGCTGTGGGTAGATTAGACATTTATGTGAGTTTCTCTGTGTGTGTGTGCATGTTTGCCTGTAAGAGCTGCCTAGAGGAGAACAGGCAAGCAAGAGAAGCACAGGTGTCTTCTCAGTGATGGACAGTAGCTGAAGAGAGCTAGTTTTGGAAGCCCAGAGCTTCACTTGGACTCTTTTGCTCCTACCTTTCCTCCAACATCCCTCATCAATTAGCACCTCCACACACAGTGCGGGGTACTCCCTCCTTGATAACTCGGGGTCTCTGAAGGCAGGAGTCCTGTGTGTTGGACCCTGGGGATACATCCAAGGGAGCTTTCTAATGTAGCATGGGACAGTAGGACCCAGCATTGGTGTGAAGTGGGAGCCTCTCATGGAGGGGATGGCTGCCTGTAAGCAGATCATTAAGTTTAGAAATTGGCACTTCCCTTGAGAATGACTGATAGTATAGTTGCACTGCTGGTTTCCTTCAAATTGCGGGACTAGTCTTACCTAGTACTGACATTAAATGTTTTGTTTCATCTTTACAATCCTAGCTATTACCCCGGTCCTCTAACCTTGTCCTTTATATATGCATGATCTAGTGAAGTGGAGTATTGGGGAACTAAGAAATGCAGAACCATCCTCTAGGCCCATTATCACAGCAGCAGCTGTCCAGCGAGGAGGAGGGTAGTGTGGAGTCCAGACCAAAGCAAGAGAGCAGGTCTCAGAGCAGGCTGTGAGCTGTGGAGCCTGGGGATCTCAGTGGCTATGAGGTAAGGACCCCTGTCCTCCCACATACACACTAGCAATGGAGGTGACCCTTCCTCTGCTGCAGTGCATCCCACTATCATCAGCGTCACCTGGCGCTTTGCTAAAAATACCGCTCTCTGGCTCCACTCCTGAGAGTGGGTGTGGCCAGAGAACCTGTGTATTTTCCAAGCACCCAGGTTATCCTTCTCATTGAGAAAAGGACACAAACTGCCCTTGAGGATGTGGCCCTTGCGAAGGTGGGGAGAGGCGATGTTTGGCTCAATATTATTAACCCTGTTTCAGAGAATGCAGAAGTGAGGCAATATACATATATGCATCTATACTCAAATATATAGGTGTATCACTCTATATTTAAAACTCCTAGGACAAGTCTTCTTTCTGTGAGAGAAAATTGTTGATCACCTTTCTTAAAAAAGCAAAGCAAAGCAAAACAAACAAACAAACAAAAAAACAGAAAAGAAACCAGGCTTTCAGTGGGCTCCAGATTTTTATTTATAAACCCAACCTTTCTGAATCTCTTAAACATTACAAATTCATCTCAAGTTGTACAATTCGTTACCTTAGCAAGCTTATAATGACAAATCTCATTTTATGTCTTTGAATGTTGCTTGCAATTATGCTACTTAATGCTGAGGGTAAGACTCTCTGTGGCAGGGAGGGATCGGAGCAGTATACAGATTGAACGGGATTTGATTTTATTAAAGTAGTTTTGCTGTCAGAGTCTGGATAGCTCTTTCAGAAGGAAAAGCTACACAGTTTTCCCTTAGGAGGGATTCTACTCAGATTGTCCTATTGTGTGGTTTGTCCTTTGATTTTAAAAACCACTTCACCCGTGTCCTCTTCCTCTTCCACTGCAAAAATAGGACAAGATTAATCAAAGACCAGAGTGATAATAGAGCTACCTCTTGTAATTCTTTGTCACTTTCACACAACTTTTAATTGGAAGAATACTAATAATGATTGAAAAGAGTTTCTCTATTCCAGTTTCTATACTACACAATGTCACCCAACCCATTGTCACCCTTCAACATAGGAACAGAGGCAAACATTTTACTGATTTCATATTTTGGGGCAGCAATTCTTTGCTGGCCTTATGGTGTTTGGGGACTTCAAAGAATGGTTCTGGTAGTTTTATTCATAGTTACCAAAAGAATGGTAACAACCAATGTCTTTCAGTTGGTTAATAGATGAATCAGCTAGTGTACAACTGTATGAGAGACCAATTAGTAACAACAAGGACTGATGTGTGTAGTAACATCAGTGAATTTTAAGGACATTACACTGAGTGAAAGAAGCCAGACTGAAGCAGATCCTGCACACGGCAGGGCTGCATTTAAAAAATATTTTGACAAAGGCAAAACTACAGGTACTGAAAAGACATATATGGTTGTCCAAGGCTGATGGTAGCAGGAGGAGTTGAGTACATAGTGACAAGAAGGGAATTGGGGGTAATGAAAATGTTCTCATCCTGATGATGGTATATGTCGAACCATTCACTAAAATGGTAAATTTCACTCCAATGACATTGCTTCATATTGGGAGCAAGAAAATAGCACGAACAATTTTGATATAAAAGAGTTAAATGTGGTCTGATTAAGTGAGGCTTATGGTTTGGAAAGCAGCAGCAGCTTTCTGTGCCTCCTTACTAGTCCTCAACTTTCTCAGCATTTCAGGGTGACAAAGATAGGTCCTGTGAAAACAGTAGGTTCTTTCTCCCATACAATCACCAGTGAGAGTGCTGACTCTCAACCCACCCAAAGCCAGGGCTGAAGCTCCATTGCTTCAGTCTTAGACGTTTTGCACAAGGAACGATCAGGTTGCTATATGGATGCAATGGCCTCTGTAGGTTAAGTGCCTGAGCCCATTTGTTTCTAAATTAAATAGAAAGTCTTATTTTGGGAAGCTGTAGTTTGTTGGCCTGCTCTTGGTTTTAGAAGCAACATGACTTCCTTGGCATTCCATGTTTGTGCTCACATGTGTGCTTCATGAAATTCCATGTCTGTGCTCACATGTGTGCTTCATTTCATGGACAGCCACTTGCTTCTCCTTACAACTTCAGATGAATTTGGCTGACCACAGCACGGCAGCTCCCACAATCACCAAAGCTCCCAGCAGCTACACAACTTGAGTGTCTACAATTCTTAAAAAAATTCACACCCTGGAATCCTAATGCAGAGTATTGTGTTGACATACAGCAACTAATTATCAGAGATGTATAACATTTATGGGATATATAACAACACATATATTAGCAAGTTAATCTCTAGGTTTTGCAACTTGGTGAGGGTGAACAAATATCTGGCATATTGGAACCTTGATACAATTCTGCACAAAATGATGAGGACCATGAAACGGAATAAAGGAACAGACACAACTGTAGGAAGTATATTACTGCATAAAATAGACTAAATGACTCTTCTCCCTATACTTAATTCCTACAGATAGAAATTACAGATATAAGATAAAACTTGGTTTCTCTTCTGGTGCTGTTCTTAGTAACAGTAACAGCAGTTGCCACAAAGAATTCCACAACTAAGGGACATTTTGACTTCAACTTAAGTAGAAAAAAAAGCCCAGGAGGCACAAATACATTACAAACAGCATCAGAATACATATTTGTCTTGCTAGTGAAAGTTAAACTCCTTCAAAACTTTTCCAAATGACTTTTATCTATCCATAAATGTGATCTTCATATGTTAAAATAAAACTAAACATTTAGCATATTTTACTCTCAGTTTTAGAAATGTTACACATTAAATGTAAATTGCCTCTCTTCTTAATTCAGTGACTCCACTGTCTCATTTAAATAGGGAAAATATCTTCTAAATAGTTCAGACATAATTTTGTCAGTTTCTGTTGATCTCACAGTTTCATCAGAGAATTAAAGCACAAGCCCAGATCCAGCCACTGGAGGCTGCCTCCAGCTAGTCCACAGCATCCAGCAAAGTGAAATGACCTGACCCACCACACTGAAGAAGCCAGCGCCAGATTTTTCCAGGGCTTGGTATGAAATTCTGCACCTCAAGGTTTGCCCCCACTTCTGTCAGCATCAGCCTCTCCACTCAGATGCAAAGCATTGTGAATAGAAAAAACAGTGGAGATGGAGGAGAAGGGAAATGGGTCAAAATCACACAGGTCTTTTCTTTCCGGAGGCAACACGTCTTATGAGGCTTCCTATGAGGAAAACCCAAGCTGTTGCATTCTAGGATTCTTCCATTTTCTTCAGGATGAAAGATTTGAAAAAGTGGACCTTTGAGAGGAAATACTGCAGACTTCCAAGTTGGTGAAGGAACTTCCAGCTTCGCTTGGGTACTCTGGGTAGGAAGAACTGGAGGAGATGATGTTTTTGAGCCTTTGAAGGGCAATGATTAAAAGCAGAAGCAGAAACGCTAACAGGCTGAGGAATATGGACACGTAGATGTAGACATTTGACAGGTGCCCCGAGGATGGGTCCACCGAGGTGGACAGCGATGTAGGAAATAGCTCTAGGAAGGTGCCATTCTCCACACTGCCCGCCAGCCCCGAGGAAGGGTCGTGTTCAGGCATCTTGAAAGGGAGGGTGAAAGAACGAAGGAGTATATTGAAAGTCACAGCTTCATAAAAGGGTTAAAAAGGATGCACTTGACATTGTCTTTTTGTGACAGTGTCCATAGAAGTTGTGGGCTGGTAACTCAGAGCAACAATGCTTCTTGGTTTTCAAACAAAGACAGCAGAGGATCAGGTGTCCACTGAGACTGCAAAAACAACAGCAGAAGGGAACTTAGTGAATTCTTCAGAAAATATCACTTAAACCTAATTTTTAGTTTTAATTTAAGTAAGGCTTAAAGATAAAACCCACCGGGGGAGGGAAGAAAAGGATGAAATAATGACCTGAGAAACAAGTGATGTTTATGTCTTCATACTACAATGGTGATAGAAAAATGAGCTTTTATTTTCTCTTCACAATTCCCTAGGTGCCAGGTTTTCCCAAGGAATTAAAGAGAATGTAAAAAAGAAACTATGTTTCTGATGTGCTCCATCTGCTGTGATCTCAACAGATGGTACAAGTGGGTGCTCTGAGACTAGAAGCCACAGAGTTAGCTCTAAACCCCCTTCCTCCAGAAAATCAATTCCCCACATTCTCCAGCCCCTCTGGGATAGTTCCTGACCAGCGTTTTCCCATAGTACACTTTGGAGAATCACTGCACATGTAAATGTGCTGTATGTTGAAGGTTCATGGTATACTAATTTGTTTAAAAGAATTTTATTTCCCTGAATTCAGGGGTCATTTCTATGACTTATATCCAGAAAAACCCACTGTAAGTTGGAAGTATCATGAGTCAGGTGAGTATTTAGCCCCGAAGTTAAGCTCCTACTTAGGGTGCATGTGTCCCACATCAGAATTCCTGACTCTGGCTCCTGAATTCAGCCTTCTGCCGAAGCAGACCCTGGAAGGTAACAGTGATGGCTCAAGTCGTTGAGTTCCAGCCAACCATGTAGGAGACCTGGATTGAGTTTCTGGATCCCGCCTTTGGCCCTGACCAAGCTCTGGACACTGCAAGCATTTGAAGAATGAACTAGTAGATGGGAGCTCTCTCTCTGTCTCCCTGCCTCTCAGATGAATAAGATAAGTTTTAAAAGTTAAAAGACAAGGAAATATCATTGAAACAAATGCATTGAATCCACCTAGACTACTGCACATCCTAGGTTAGCAACACAGTGCACACTGCAGTAGCATGTGACAACTCCTGATCATGGGCTGACTGGGGCTGTCCAGCATTGTGAGAGGATTGGACCACATATCACTAGGCTGAGAAAAGTGCAAAATTCAATATTCAAAGTATGCTTTCTACTGAATGCTCATGGCTTTCCCACCATCGGAAAGTTGAAAAATCATTAAGTGGAACCGTTAGGAGCGGAGGACCATCTGCATTTGTTCTCTTTAATGGGCCCAGGTGCTTTGTTGTATATACTTTCAGTATCCTAAGAAACTTCAGATTAACTCCTAAGAACTAAGCCTGGATTCTCACAGAGAATACTAGGTTTGCTGTCAAGAGGTTTACATTTGGCTTGCATTTCCCATTATCTTTGGGAAGTTGGGCAAATGACCTGCATTTTCTGAGCTTCACTCTTCTCCTCTGTAAGATGGTACCACACCTGCCCCATCTCCTCGCTGTGTTGCGCAGAGACTAAGATAACAGGTAGGGAAGTACACTGGTAATGGCAAAGGGCTGGGCCAAAATTAGTTCAGTGTGGATGTGTGATGTGTGTATATGTGAGGTGTGTGTGTGCAGGTGTGGCTGTGTCTTTGTTAGTAGTGGGGTGTATGTGTCAGTATTTCAAGGGTTGTGGAGAGGGAATAATTTCCTCTAGTCAGGCATGAAGGATTGCTGTGCTCTGTTCAGGGATGCAGCCTGAGGGAAGAGAGCCTCTCTGGAAGAATTCTCTGCAAGATAAGCTGTTCTTCCCAGCTCTGTGTGGCAGTCCATCACTTTGTTGTAAATTTCTCAATCTGGGTGAAGCACAGGAAATATATAATAGGAAAACTTCACTCAGCCTGAGTTTCCCCTTCCTAAACTCTACCTTGCATTTTGCCTGGAGAATTTGCCTTTTCCTCCTGGTCTTCAAATCTAATTAAGCAGCTGATTTTTTGAGTGGTTGACATTTGCTGCTGTCAGACAGAACTGAGCAGCTCTGAGGATCCCAGGGAAGGAGGGACGGCTTCGGGGAAGGCTGTCCCGGCGGGTGCCTGGCAGGCTGAAGCATCTCAGTGAGCTCCGCTAAGTGGGCCGGGGACGCTGTCTCAGTGGTGCCTAAAATGACTTGGCTCCCACTTCTTACTTTGCTTTGCGAGGTGATTTTAACGCCATTAGGCTGTTATAGGCATCTAACAACCCTTAAAAAGAAAGGAGTCACAGTGGGACTGCAAGTATGTTTGTTACGCTGACTTGGCAACACCTTGACTTTTCACAGCAGTAAATGTTCCAGCCGTTCATCTTTAGAGAATACAGCCAAGTGTCTCAGAGGCAGCAAGTGCATGCATGGGAAAGAAGACTAGGGTAGGAATCTCATAGACTGCCTTGGAAAAATACTCAAAAGGTTCTGGTACAGCCTCCTAAGCATGGCCGAGGAAAGAGGCAAACAAAGCAGCTCATTGATTTGTCAAATGTAACAGATCTAATTAGAAGACAAGCCAGGGCTTCAGGCTTCGGTCCAGCCTCACCCCTAACACCATCTGGTCTCAATGTTTGCATTGCTTTGGAGCTTCTACCATTTCTTTTCTAGCATGGACCAAGAAGGTAAAGGATATGCATCTTGTCAAGAGCTCCTCATAACTACTTTGTAGGACAGGTAGAACACAGATTATTCCCATTTTGTAGCTGAGAAGACTGAGGTTAAAGGACATTGGGATTTACTCAAGACACACAGCTAGGTAGTGACAGAGAAGTGACTGAAATGCACGTCTGAACTGAATTCTTGGTTTTGTCAACTGTGAAAAACAGTACTTTTTCACTTCTTGAAGAGAGAAAATGTGTGATTTGGATAATTAGCTTTCATCTGTCACTCGCTTTGACCAAGCCCACAGTCAGCCTTGACAATTCAGTTTTCTCGTTTGCGCGGTAACATCCAAATTTGCTACTTCTTCAGGTGGGCCTGAATGAAGATGTGACAACATTTCCATAAATACAATTAGAGAATAATAAAAGGCCACCCCCAGTAAAGTGTGAGTGGTCAGACAGCTCCTTCTGAATATCTAGAAACATCAGAGGAACATTCACAATCTCTGCTGGTCTTGCAGTTCTGACATGCTAGTCATTGATGAGCCAGAGTTGGCTGATATTTCTAAAGCCACCCTCTTGGCTACCCACATCTGTATCATTTCTAGGAGTGGGGCTGCAGACATGGACAATGTGATTGTGGTATCAGCAGTTCTGTGGCAAAACTCAGAACTGGCTACGAGGCCACCTGTTAAAGCTAAGATACCTCTTCACTGGGTAAGTATTCCAAGAATATTTTTTACTTTTTAGACTGCCATTTAAAAAAGTATTCCTTTTATGTATTTGAAACTCACAAATTGGTTTATTCCCTAAATGCTTGCAGTCACTGGAGCTGAGTCAGCCTGAAGCCAGGAGCAGGGATCTCACTCAAGGTTTTCCATGTGGCTGGCAGGAACTCAGCTATCTGGCCTACCAGCTGATGCTTTCCAAGGTACTTGTTAGCAGGAAGCTGGAATTGGGAGTAGAGCCGACACTAGAACCTAGGCACTCTGATATGAGATATGGGTGTCCTAAGCAGGGTCTTAACTACTATGCCAAATGCCTGCCCAAAGATTCCTTCTTTCAGACCAAAAGTCCACTCTGAGCCTCTACTGTCTATGGAGTAATCCTCAGGAAATGAAATTAAGAAGATTCGGGTAAAGAACCTGATCTCGCAAGTGGTATTGGAACAACAGAAAGAAAAAACAAACAAACAAAAAAATGAAATCTTAAGTCCTCAATTGACATTTTACAATTAAGTATCTTCTCCCTTAAATATCCCCTTCCAAATATTGCAGGTTCAATTTCATACCCAGAGTTCTTCTTAATTTAAAATGACAGCTATACACCAGTTTCATTTCATTGCTCTACTCTGAAACAATAGAGTTTGTGCACTATTAGGGATGGTCTTAATGCGGCAATATTGATTTTCATTTCCTTATTGAAGTTTAAAATATTGGCATATTTTCTTTCTCTTGGGTACATGTTTTATTTGACAGCAAGCATCTAGTGCTCGGAATGAATCAAATTGTATGTGGCCAGGCAGTGCGACAGGTGGTACCTCAGAAAGGAAATCAAATGAGTGTGTTTCAGGTGACGCTTCGTGGGCTCTGCCTCACAAACAGATAAGGATTAAAGTAAAGAAGAAAGAAACTTCATCTCAAATGCATAGCCTTGACCTGTCTCCGGGCAGCACCAGCAGCTTCTCATTTCGGGTGACACCTAAAGTCATGTGGGGATTTTGATGCTTTTTTTTTTTTCTGAGCCATCCTCAGAAAGTGATTTTTTGAGAAAGGAAAATGAGACTTTTGGATTACAATATTATAAATGGAGATCTGCGGCAGTGTTTTAGCTCATGGTTAGCCAGCTTTCCTTTTGTCTTTTGGAATACAAAACTGCTGGGATGAAGTCTCTGTAAAGCAGTGACTACAGAGTGGGGGTGGGCGTGGGACCTCTCATCAGGAGCCCAGTGGGATGGGGGATGGGTGGATAGCACAGGCACGGCAGACCTGGGGGACTGCTCCTAGCCATTCAGCACCATGTCACTGCGACTCCTCCTAGAGAACAGAAGCTTTGCTTCCCATGGGTGATTATGAGGACTGTAATGTTCTGGAAGAACAAAAGCACACAAAAATCCATTGTCTGCCTTGTCCCTGGTTAAAGGCAGAAGGGCTGACTAGCCTCATCTCTAAGTCCCTTTATATGAGCACTGCAAGTCCCACAGTGGAGACACAGCATGAGGGCACAGCCTGTATCATGGCCATGATTTCTGGACTACGATGGTTGATAAAACAGCCTACCAGTCAGTCCCAAATGTGGCAGGGCAATTTTGATTTTGTGCCTTTATTCATGTACATCTCTAAGTGAATAACAACTATTTAAAGGTTTAAAGTTTTTTTTTTTTCTTTGTGGAAAACTGGGACAAGCTGCTTTGTTCCCCTGCAGACATATTTAAGGAGTGACCTGGTTGTTACCATGAATGTGGCTATAACATTTCA